AAGGCTTTTGCAAAATCCGCTGCCTGTTCTTTAATCATTAGTTCAGTTAAAAACATTTTACTATTAGTAACTTGTTCGACTCAGATTCTCATTGATTGATCCAATAGGGGATATTTCACTTGTTTATGTCGAAATACGGTAGAACTTAATTGGTCTTCAGTAACCATTAACCATTTTGATTTATTTTTTAATATTTTAGAAACCGTAGACCGATCTAATTTTAAATTGGGATCTTGAGAATTAAAATAGTTCGCTATATCTATTTGTTTTTGATTAGGATTATTTTGACTATATTCACATATTTTTTGTTTTAAATGTTCACTAACAGCCGTTCTTTGTCTTTTTTGCAGTAAATTTTTTAGATAACATAATAATGAAAGTATTCACCCAAATGTTATCTAAAGGATTTATGGAACTAACAGTTCCTTTTATATTTAAATACTTACAGTGTGCCATATATAAATTTTATTGATTTTTGTAATAACAAATACAATCATAAATTTCTCTATTTGAAAATATATAGATAACGCCAAGTAAAATTGGAGTTGGAAATTTTAAATTTTTACCTTTTATAAATTATCTATTGTTATTTCTAGTTTATATTAATTCATATCCTAGTTATTAACAAGCTTTAATTATATACTCTGTTTAGTAAATCTTGTGATCGACTGATAATTTGAGTGTCGCCAAAAGAAAACTTGCAAATCTAAATTTGCAGGTTTTCTTTTGGTGGCACTCATTTGGATTACAAATTTGTGTAGTATATAGTGGGTTTTGGTCTCAAGTTCTCATGATTGATATTGGGATGATTTAGACCTTTTATTCATACAAGTTTGTATGTACGCCATTAATTATTTCTCTCTTGCTTTTTATATGAACTTTTTGAAGATTTAAAAAAACATGTTTTGTAATTATAGGTAAGTGCAGCCAAGAAAAAACCTGTTAAGTGCATATCGGACTTCTGAAAATACTGATCATAACTATCTTAATATAGTTCATATCACAGTTTTCAGAGTCTAAGTTTGGTATAGTGAAATTTTGAAAGACAATAATGATTTGAGTGTTGCCAAAAGAAAACCTGCAAATTTTATTAGATAAGATTTGTGGGTTTTCTCTAGTGATACTTATTTGGATTACGAATTCATATGATAAATGATGAGTTTGTGATCTCAAGTTCACGCGATTGATCTTAAAATGATTTAGACTTCAAATTCATGCAGGCTTGTATGTACGTCATTAATGTATTTTTCCCTTTGCTTTCTATATATTTAAAAAAACATGTCTTAATAATTATAGATAAGTGCAGCCAAGAAAAAATATGTCAAGTGTAATGTAAATTTTTTGCCATATTGGACTTTTGAAAATACTGATCATAACTCCTTTAATATATAGTTCATATCACAGTTTTCAGAATCTAAGTCTGGTACAGTGAAATTTTGAAAGACGATAATGTTTTGAGTGCCACCAAAATAAATCTTATTAGATAAGATTTGCAGGTTTTCTCTTGGCAGTACTCATTTGGATTACAAATTCATTAGATTGATAATGGGTTTGTGATCTAAAGTTCACGTGTTGATATTGGAATGATTTAGGCCTCAAATTCATGCAGGTTTGTATATACGCCATTGATTTCCCCCCTTGATTTTTATATAAACTTCTTTTGGTAATTACAGTATAAAGCAAAAAAATTTTAAATTATTAATACTTAATTTTATTTAAAAAAATTAATTTTTTTTTAAAATTGCAGACAAATTTGTTTGCAAACTCTTTTAAAGGATATAAGATTAAATATCTGTAATATAGTTATACCAAATGATTAAAAAGTCAGAAATATCTGTATTATACAGAAGTATCTATATTATACAAAGAAATATAAACTAATACTAGATAGTACAAATTTATAATAAGTTTTTTGTCTGTATATAGAAATTTGTATATATAGAAAAGTTACAAAAACTTATTTGAAAAGATCTGAGTAGAAAGTAGTATAAGATTTTTTAATAAAACTACTATAAAAGCTAGACTCAAAAAATAGATATTTAGCAAGATAAACTAGATAGAGTATGATTTATAAATAAGCAGATCTACCAATTACATCAGTAAATTTTTCAGTGTGATAAGTATTGATTATAATCTAGAATTAGTAATCGATTAGTAACACCACCGTCATAAGAAATCGATATAGATTAGAAATCGATAATAATCATATATATGATAAAAATCGATATAGATAAAAATCAATAGTTATCGTTTATATGATAAACATTGATAAAAATTAATATAGATAAAAATCGATTACTTATGATAAAAATTGATCTAGATAAAAATTAATAGTTATCATTACTGATAAGAATCGATCTAAATAGCAATCCATAATCGATAATTTTTGTTTAGAATAAAAATTGATCTAAATATTGACATACTATAACATTAAAGATAGCTATGTATAGTGTTCTAAAAATATAAATCGGATCAGATTCGGATTGTAATCTAATCCCAACCGTCGGATTGGTTTTAGCTCCAAAAATCTGGATTGAGCAGGATTGGGCCTAATTTAAAATTAGAGTACAAAATTTAGATCAATTACATTATCTTTTAAACTGTAGATTTTAGTAGACAAATTTGGCTACTAAAATTTTAAATTTTTGTTTATAATCTAATTTTGTTAAAATTTAATATATTTTAAAAAAATTTTATATAATAATA